TACTTCCCCGTCCTCTTCGGGCACCCTGGACCCGAACCACCCTTCCCCCTTTGACGGCGCCCGCGCTAGCCTTGCTAGCGTCGTTCGCCACTTTCTACCTCGGACTTCCCCCTACACCCTCCGCTCACGCGGACCTCTTCTGGCCCCCTCCAGTCCGGTCCGTCATCGCCCCATGGCTGACGGTGTGTCACACGCCGTCGACACGGCGATGACCACGGCATCGGGCTCCACACCCGTGCCGGCGGACCAGGGCCATCAACCCCAGGGGGATCTGCACACCCTCCTCACCTCCTTCCTGGCGCCCATCCAGGCGCAACTCGCGACCCTCGCGCCCTTACAGGCGCAGGTGGCGACCCTTGCCGCCGGCATGCGGCAACTCCAAGACGCTGGTCGTCCTTCCTCTCCTCACCCTATCTCTTCTCCTGGCTCCCAGTCCGGGTCCCCCGCCTTCCGACAGGGTGGTCATGGTGGAGCTTCCTCCTCCGCTGCCCCCGACCCAACCATCTTGGTAACCGTCCACGCACCTAGCACGACGACCGCCATGAGTCAGGCCCTCCCTCAGTCCACGGGCGCACCCGCCCAGATTCCGGTCACGACGGCCACGAGACCACAACCCGCTACCATGGTCTCAGCTTTTCCGGGTGCCCCACTTCTCCCCCCTCTTCGCACGACCGCAGCGCCATCTGGCTCTCCCCCTTGTGGGATGCCTCGCGTCGCTCGTGCGTCTCCCCCTTCCACACCTCGCTCGACCTACGTTCGAAGTCTCGAGGACGAGATCGCTCGGCTCCGGACCGACCTCGCCCTCTCACGCCTTCAGCCACCCCCACCCTCATAGGCAGCCGCGCCTTCCGGTGCACCCCCTTCTTCCTCTATTCTTCCTTCCATGCAGGCTCGTTTCCCTCGCCCTGCACCCTACCAATCTCCATCCTACCTCCTCCCCATCCCCTCGGTCGCCGCGACCTCTTCTACCGAAGCTCCCGTGCAGCCTGCCGCTGCTTCCCCCGCCGCTCCACCATGAGGCCCGGACGTACAGTCAGCTGCACCTCCTCCTCCTCCAGGACCTGTGCCGACTTATTTTTCCACCGTAGCGTAGTCCCCTGCTTCCTGTTCCCCTCACCGCCAAAACGGTGGTACACCACTCATCCGCTTGTCGGACATTCCCTTGTATGACGGTACAGGCATACGCGTGTCTAGGATGCTGCAGGCTACCACCCGCACGCTCCAGCTCATAGGTGCCACACCCGACACATGGGTGGGTCACCTCTCCACGCGCCTGCGTGGTGCTCCTTTCGACGCCTGGGAGGATTTCTATGCTTACTCCCTGCGTGAGAGTCGGACTCCGACCTTCATGGATTTCCAGGCGTTCCTCGAGGATCGCTTCGGAACCCGATATGACGTGACTGGCGTCTTTGAGCGTGTCGTCACTACACGCTGGTCCGGCTCTGGTGGCGCTGCCAGCCCGGATCGCCACATCCAGGTCTTTCAGGACGCCCGCCTCGTTTGTGACGTGGCGTTCCTTCCCGAGGCTGCCCTTATTAATCGTTTCTTGGCCAGCCTCCCGCTCGAGTACCGCTCCGAGCTATGGCGATGCGAGTTCACATCGGCCCCACAGGCTTACGAGGCCGCCAGGGACCATCAACGGATGCGAGCCCGTCTTCACCCCGCCACCTCCTTCCAGCCCCAGCGCACGGGCTACGCCTCCTCCTCCTCTCATGGCACTTCCCATCCCGTTCCCCTTTCCGCGGTCGCCCCCGCCGTTCCACGCAGCAGGGCCACCACTTCTCGCGCCGCTTCAGCGCGCTGGAGTATAGTGAGCAGGACGTTGTTGCCCCACTGTCACCTGAGGGCGACCACAGCGACGACCTCGATCTCTGCGAGGCCGTCCACTATCACTTGGAGGACTCTACCCTCCCTGCAGCTGAGCGCCTTCAGCTCGCGCTCTCCGCCCTCTCTCGGGCACGCAGCCGCCCCGGTCACGCTGGCACGTCGCCCCCGGAGGTCCCTCAGGAGGACCTCCCTCAGGGCTTCGTCCCTCCTCGTGGTGTCCTTTCCCCTGAGGAGCGCGCGGCCATTCTGGGTCGACGTGGGTGTTTGCGCTGCCGCTTGGACGGTCATACCTCCTCGCGGTGCCCTTACACTMCCGCCCTCGACCGCCACTATGCTGACCTTTCTCATCAGTGTCGTGCTCGGTCCCCCCCCGGCGCCTCATGTCCCCGCGGCGCCTCCTAGCCACGGTGAAGTGTACACCTGCGCCCTCCTCAGTAGTGGGCTTCCCGACATCTCCGTTGTGGTTTGCCCCTCTCGCTACTGGGGTTGAGGTATCGCAAGACTCGACAGAGTGTACTCAGCCCTCTGTCGCAGTACCGTCTGCGCCTCCGCAGACCACCATCTCCCCTCCTTTCCAGCCTCGGCTACCGACGCGTTGAGCCATTCGCTCAGCCCGTTGCACCGAGCAGCTCGCTACTCGCGAGGACGTTGTATCCTCTCTTCTGGACTTGAGCATGCTCCAGGCTCGTCAGAAGCGACTCACCCTCCATGTCGCTGCACTGCTGCGCCTTCTCGCCATCCTCTCTGACCCTGATCGCACCCTCCCGATCATCCCATTACGACTCGGGACCTCCACGAGGGTGTACTCCGCGCCGTGGGATTCCGGTTCTTAGGGCGACTTCATTCACCCACACGTGGTAAAAGAAGCTCGCTTACCCACGACAGGGTCTCCAACTCCCATTTTCGTTACCCTAGGGGATGACAAGACCCAGCGCTTCTTCGATCAGACGGTCACCGACCTCCCTTTCTTCCTCACTCTCGAGCCGACTGATCGTTTCCCGGCGTCTCGTCGCCACCGCTCCTCTGCACATTTCGATGTGATGGAGACGGGGTATGACTTCATTCTCGGCACTCCGTGGTCTCGTCGGTTCCGCAGCACCGAGGCCGATTGGGCGACCAACACTCTCGTTCTCAAAACGAAGTGTGGACAGACGTATCGCGTACCTTTCATAGGTACCACTGCGACACCACGCCCCGATCCTCCTCCCCCGGAACCTTCCGTGCCCACACCATCTCCTTCCATCACTGTCACCTCGCCTCGGCAGTTCGTCCACTTCATCCGACAGGACGACGTCACCTTCTTTATGGTGGACGTGACGGATCTCTTACACTATGATCCACCCTGTCCCGACGTCGAGCTCATCCCTCTGGAGCCAGATCCTCCTTCTATCTCCATGGCTCCCATCTCTACTTTCGTCCCTCCGTCGTCCATCGAGTCCACTCCGTCGCCGCCCGCTGACGCTGACGCTGAGGAGCTCGCACGTTATACGGCTGACCTGGAGCCCGCAGTTCGTGACCTCATCCGAGAGTACCACGACGTTTTCCCATCGTCGTTGTCGTACGCCGGCATCCCACCGATGCGTGACGTCGAACACTCCATCCAGCTCGTGCCTGACTATCGTGTTCACCACCAGGCACCCTACAGACTCTCGATCCCCGAGGCCACCGAACTCAAGCGTCAGCTTGAGGAGCTCCTGAGATTGGGTTTCATTAAACCCAGCAACTCCCTGTGGGGTGCACCCGTCCTTTTTGCTCGCAAAGCGGATGAGACTCTTCGTCGCTGCATCGACTACCGCGGTCTCAACCGCTACACGGTTAAGAACAACTACCCCATGCCTCGTTCCGATGAGTTGTTCGACCGCCTAGCAGGCAACCGCTTCTTTACGAAGATCGATCTTCGTAGCGGTTACCATCAGATCCGCGTCACTGCAGCCGATCAGCCGAAGACCGCGTTCCAATCGCGATTCGGCCACTACGAGTTCACGGTGATGCCATGCGGCCTCACCAACGCACCCGCTACCTTCCAGAGGGAGATGAACGACATCTTCAGGGACATCCTGGAGCAGTACGTTCTCGTCTACCTCGACGATATCCTGGTCTATAGTCATACCCTTGAGGAGCATCTCAGACACCTCCGCGACGTCCTTGACCGCTTGCGCAGACATGGCTTCTACGCCAAGCTGAGCAAGTGCCGCTTTGCCCAGCACAAAGTGGATTTCTTAGGACACTGCGTGTCTGACCAGGGTCTCCACATGGATGACGCGAAGATCACTGCTATTGCGGAGTGGCCAGCCCCCACATCCGTCAAGCAGCTTCGCAGCTTCCTAGGCCTGACCAGCTACTATAGTAATTTCATCCGGTGATCTGCTAGGTATTCCTACATCCTTATCTCCACCCTCCTCCGAAAGAACCCACCCTGGGCTTGGACACCCCTCCACGAGGACGCCTTCCGCGCCCTCAAGAAGGCAGTGACATGCGCACCGATTCTTCACCTATCCGATTTCGATCGCCCTTTTATCCTTACCACCGATGCGTCAGACTTTGTTGTAGGACCAGTGCTTTCTCAGGTCTTCCCCTCCTCTCCTGATTCCTCTCATCCTCGTATCCCTCGCTTCCCACCACCTACCCCTACCACCGCTTCCTGACTGACGCCTACTCGTCCAGCTACTGACGAGCCTTGTATTGACTATTCTCCTACCATCGCCGAGGACGGCACTGTCGAGTCTCGCTTAGGTGATTGTCTGATAGCCTTCTGCTCCCGTCAGCTCCTGCCCGCCGAGATGAACTACACTGTTGATGAACGTAAGGTTCTCACAATAGTTTATGCCGCTCGGCACTGGCGTCACTACCTGCATGGGGCACCGTTCACGGTGCGTACGGACAACTCTATTGTCCAGGCTTTTCTGACAAAACCGAAGCTCACTCCTCGACAGGCTCGCTGGTGGCGCGACCTATCGGAGTTTAGTTTCACCACTGAGCACATCAAGGGTGAGACTAATCGGGTCGCTGATGCCCTATCCCGGCGCCCTGACCACGACCAGGAGCACATCCAACTCTCTTCCATCTCGGTCACCACCATCCACCACTCGGTGATCGAAGAGTTTTGCACTCAGTACCGCCACTGCCCCGACTATCGCGACATCCACGCGACCCTTCGGAGTGGCAAGACCGTCCCGAACTACTCTCTCGGGGACAACGGTCTTGTGTACTGGCACGGTTCACAGGGCACGAGAGAGCCCTGTATTTGCATTCCTTCCACTGGACAGCTACGTGTGAACTGTTGATATACAGACTCAAGTTCGATTCCACATAATATCAGATGAACAGACGAAAATCATTCTGAGTCGCCTGGGGCCAGTCCGTTCAATGATGATATCTCGAGGCCATCGCCCATTGGAAGGACCTTTGATTCCAAGCCTGTTCAGCCTGCAGCACTCGAGGTTTCAAGCCTGTTCAGCCTACCACTCGAAGGACCCTCGAGGTGTCAGGCACGCGTCTCAAAGAAAGCAACGACATATGTTTGCCTTCTATGCATAACCGCATGCTTTGTCCACGAGAGTCCCTCTTTCTGAGCATACTCAGAGCATACTCACACCGGGACTCAGCAACTCCTAGATGAACCTGCAGTGACCGTAATTAGGGCTGTACTGGGAGGTATTCTATCCAAATTACATCCATAGGTCCGTCAAAACAGTACTACCTTCGTCCCCCAAATAGAACGTACGGTCATTATGCCTGTATCTGGGGCAAATTTCAGTCCAGATACAGCGATAATGACTGTACATTCTATTCGGGGGGGAAGACGGTAGTGTGAGTATGCCTTCAAGAGTGCTGTGTAACCAAGGGCCAAAACTCTTGAAAATGAAACTTTTGAGACTATTGGTCTCGCTCCACTACTCTAGACTCTCGAAGATTTTCGAGAGTGAGTCTAGAGCTGTCAGACTCTAGAAAAGACTGAAAAAGAGAACATCGCTCCACTTACTCTAGAAGGTCAAACTCAAGAAGGCCTCTCGGATGTCAGACCGCTCCGTACCCCCCTGGATGTATCTGGACTCTGGCTGAGTCCAGAAACATCGAGGGGGTAGGGCGTTTTCAGAACGCCCTACCCAAAATTTCATCAAATTTTGGCTGCAGTTTGGACTTTCAATTTCGTACAAAAAATAAAAAATGTCCGTTTTGATGAAATCGCTGTTCTTTGAGAGAGCTACACGACACACCCAGCCCGTTGTTGTCCGCCCAGACTCCAGGTGCACTCCATAAAAATGCTCAACTTTCGAAGGTCCTGGATGCCTACCTTGAAAATCCCGCCGCTGCAGGCGGGAGCTCTCGAATCGTCAAGAGTGCCACGGGAGAGGAGGTTCTGACAACTGAAGAAATGCATTTTCGTGACTGTGTTTCATGAGGTAGTGGAGCGACGATGGATTCTCGCCATTTTCGTGAGTAGATAATGACAGCCCAAGAGCCCGAATTCCAGACCTGGCGTCTAGAGTAAGTGGAGCGGTGACGCGCTCAAGAAATGGCCGGTTTCTAGAGTAGTGGAGCGAGACCCTATACGAAAAGCGGGCCACCGATTCAATTTATCAACAGCGGGTCTCCCCCGCTTGGCTACCGCGTTTCCCGGCGCATCTTAGATTTCAAGTGGGGAAAGGTACTGGTGCCTTCAACCACCACTACTTGGCCCAGCTATCGATGCCGAGCCTGAATATGCCCTGCATGCCGTTTCCCACCGACCCGCCAGCGAAACAACAAAAAGTTGTTTTGCCTGGCGGTGTCAGCCTTTCAGGTCCGGTACCCCGGGCCTCTGAAACTTGCGGGGCGTTAAAGACAACGCCCCGCGGCCGACATAATGACCACCAGTACGTTTCCCAGCCATTTTTCTCCGATGCACCTTGCATGCTGCCGCAACTTTCGAGGGGTTTGGCAACCAGAGCAAAAGGGCTGGAGCCTGGCGGCAACCGGCAAAAGGAGGCTTTTTGGTGCCACCAGTTGGCATGAGCCTGACCTTCTAAGGGCAAGAGCCTGCAACTGTGCGTTTTCAAACTGGCCTGCGGTTCTTGCTGTCACTCCAAGCCCAGGCCGAAATGCTCTTACCGCGTATATCTCTGCAAGAGAACTACAGTTCGTGTGTAACTGCTGGTTTTTCACAGTTTCAGCAGACTGTGGTGTCACTGGTGTGGCAATTAATCTGCCATTCTAGTGTATACCACCGCCAAATGACCTCAGCTGACTCATTCATATGGATAGAGAAGCAGGAGGGATGGAGGATTATTAATTTAATATATTCACTGAGAAAGACACAACAAAAATCTTCTTTTGGGATCATGGAGCTAGAGTGAAGAACCTCATGTTGGACCTGCTGGAATGGAAATCGACCAGACCAGGCATAAGGAGTGGTAGATGCAAGAAGCACACAGCACATCTCTAGCTTCACATGCCTCACTGTCAAATCAATCTACATATTTATCCACCTATTGGAAGGGGGAGGAGGGTTGGGGGGGGTGTGGACATCAGGTACAGGGTAAAGGAACCATGGCCCAAGCACCTCGACCTGGGCACAAACGATCTGCAACGCATACAACTGTGGAAGCATTACTGCTTTTTTTTTTTTGGGGGGGGGGGACGAAAGCTCTAATCTATTCGTGGGGACCACCACGTGCTGAGAACCGGGCTCAGCGTCCCTTTGAAGTACAACTGAAATTATGTGACACATTCAAAGTTTTAAAATTACTGCTTACAAAAGCGAACCTGCAAAAAAAAAAGAAGTTGCTCTACAGTGGCAGATCTTCCACAGATGCCATCTGACAAGGGACTGGCTAATAAACCACAATCATTTATAACAGAAAGGGATGCTCCTGCCATGGTGCAAAAGCTGTTTGTCAAACTTACCACACAAAATGACCCAAGGGCCCACCTCTTCCTTTCCTGCCCAAAGGGTGGAGGTGGTGGGACAGAATCCGGCAATGGCTGGCGGAACTTTTTATTTTTTTAATTTATTTTTTTGAAATTTCCAGGGAGGCAGTCAATGCTGGCAGCCAGAGACTGGCCTTCTTACCATCTATGACGTATAAAATGCTAAAGTGGGACGCTGGACCCGTTTTCCAGCAGGTGAGGCTCCCCACCAGTAGATTGGAGTAACCGGTGCTGCGCACTAGTGGAGGATGCTCGTATCACCTTGCCTAGTGACGCTGGACTGGCTTTATTAAAAAAAAAAAAAAAAAAAAAGGGAGGGCGACACTTGGGAGAGTGATAAGAGCATCTCCCTCGAGTGGTCCCTCGGGTGAAGGCTCCATCTATTGGTGGGGAGCTGCACCTGCTGGAAACCGGGTCCAGTGTCCCAAATATTACAAGACAATGTAACAGTTGAGTTTGCTGGAAACCGGGTCCAGCGGCCCATATATTATGCGATTGTCCTGATTGCGGCCCTTCGTGCCGCTGAATGGTCCGGTTGTTTGTATTATGTTTTTTGCTGAAGTTCGTCGTAGTCCTTCCTCCTCTTCTGGCTCCGCTTGTTGAACTGTCTGTTGTTCATGCCGCTTCTGTTGTTGTTGTCTTGTTCCTGCTTCCATCTTTTCCTCTTCCGTCTTTGTGTAGTTTCAGGGGTGCCTGGTTGCCTTGCCTCAGTCCCTGCATTGAGCAGGCCTCCTTGTGGCACCTCTGACTATGTTGTGGGAAGCTTGGTTTTGGTTGTCCTTCTTTGTCGTTGTCCCTCCCCCTGTGGTAGAGACCACATCGCTTGTAGCCACTCACGATGCAGCTGTCTTCTGTCTGTCTCTTATACACATCTAGATGTGTATAAGAGACAGGTTCCAAGGGGAGGGAGGGAGGAGGTGACTCTGACGGATGAGTCGTTCGGGGGTTGGGCTCCTGATCAGGTTCGCCATGGGCATAGCGCCCAGTGTTCGGGGTGCAGGGGCACAGGGAAGCATTCAGCCCGACCGTAGGACCACTGGTCATCATGCATTGCCCAGTTCTTCCAGCTAAGCTTCCCATTGTCGTGCACTTCTGCGGCTTTCTGCCATCTTGCAATCGGGATCAAGCCAGTTGTCCCGAAAGGCAGCTATGGCCTTTCTCCTACTCTCCCCGTCCCGGGTTGCTTCCAGTACCTCGGTGAGCTTTTTGCTGGCTTTATTCCAGGTTTGCCCTTTAAGTTATGACTTCCAGTAGCTCTGCTTTGGAGACGAATGGGCGCCTCACAGCCCTGGCCATGGGACTGGAAAGCACTCCTCTGCGAAGCATGGAGCCCAGCCCAGGTCACCACCTTCGAGGAGAACATGTTCAAAGTGGGACGTCGAGCCACTCTCTGGGGTGGCGTCGGTGCACACTGGAAACGGAAGGAGTGCAACGAGATGGCACGGAGTTCGTCAACTCAAGGGGTTCCCCTCTTTTTTAATCTCCCACAATTGATTCCTTGACAGTCCCCAATTCATACTGCATTCAAGATGTATAAGGGACGCTGCACCCGTTTTCCAGCAGGTGATGCTCCCCAC